GTGGGTGGCACTATTTACTTGGATACCTAACGTGGCTCAACAGAACCTCACTCTAAGCCCATGGCTAGAGCACCCAAAGGCAGAAGGTGGGGAGAGTACCCGAGAGGCTCATATAGGGCTACGATATTTCGAAATATTGTTCCAAAATCCCAGACTATGGAAAGGAAGAGGAGTGGTCCTCTAATGTAATGACCAAGGATATGGTCATGTGGTGAGGAAATCCCAAAGGACAGTGGGACTTAGTGGTCAGGCATGTGTGCCTTGTCCTAATGGCAATATTGGCAAACACGGCCATGGACAGAAAAAGGACTTGATGGGGACTGTAAAAGGGATATTAGGGAAGGTTGTTCCCTATGTCTGCGGGCATTTTAAGGATGCTAAAGAGTGGATCTAAGATAGTCACTCATGGACGGATGGCTTAGTCTTTGAGAGACAGGATTGCGATACAAGTGGTGTTAGATCACATGTGTGACCAAGGTGAATGGGCATGGCCTTAGTGTAAATTGGTATGTAGGTGGTACTTTGGGGTGTCGGTTATGGAATTGAACATATGAAACACTTGGACCAAGTGCAAGGTTGAGTGGCATAGATGCCATTCTTGAGGCTAGCAAACCTCAAGTCCTAAATTAGACTTATGGAGGTTGTGAATGAGGCTTCTTTAAGTGGTTAGAGGTGTGGTTAAGTGACTACAATAGAATGAAAAAATTTAGTCACTTACAAAATACTAACGTCTTATGGGAAATGACATATATTTCGAAAGATGGATTCCCAAATGCTCCAATTTGGAAGGTAAAAACTCCAAAGGAGATAGAGTGGTAAAATAGCCAAATGATAGATCCATGGATAATCCTAACACAAATTATAAATAAATGAAACTTTATGCAAATGTTGGTATGAAATAAAATAAAGGATGATAGTGTTTTCTAGTAAAGAACTTCTTAAGATGGGGAAGTGGGGTTTTCATAACCAGTACAATGCAAAGTGTCGGAGACATCTAAGAAATTGATTTGAGATGTCAATATTAAAGTTTTAGAGTGTGATGGTTATGTTGATAAAGGCCAAGACTACTCCTGAATGAATAGTAAAATTGAAATAGACAGTGTCTCTAATGAGTTTAGCATGAACTAAATGAATAAAATAGGAAGGACCATCATAAGTATCACAAAGAAAAAGCACCATGAAATCACCAACTCATTTTGTAATGCTCACTAGGAAAGTGTTTCATCACAATGGCACTGCTAAAAATGAATCAAAAATCTATACCAAAACTTCCCCCACTTTGTGTTCTTGGTCATATACTTACTATATGTATTGGCTACACTCCCAGTTTTTCTCAAAGAATCCCTTTGACAACTTCTCTCCAATATGACTTGTAAATCTACATCGAGCAAGTCATAGTTCCAGAAATTAAGAAACAGTAAGCCAGAGTTTGATTTAAGAAAACCCAAATGCTCTCCATGCCTGGTTCTTAGGTTAATCCGATGTCATTTGGTAGAGCCATGCTGACCGAGACTATAAGGATTGTCCTCTTTGGGCAGCCAGTCATTCATGCTTGAGAAATCTACCATGATTGGTACCATGCTCTGTCCCATGGCCCGCCACCTGCTCATCAGATCACCGTGAAGCTCCACAATGTGCTGGTTATAGCTGATGCAGTCAGAAGGATATCACCTGTCTGGCCATTTTCGTATGAAGGGCACGAACACTCTGGCCTGTGTGAGGGGGTGGTCCCCTGTACTGGCGAGTGCCTCCTCCGTCCTACTCTGGGTGGTAGAGGAAGAGGACTCGAGGTTGTTCTCTATGTCATCCACCTTGTGTTGATACAGCAAAGGCACAAGTTTGTTCAAGGCCTCTCTCCACTGCAATGAGTTTGTAAGCTACGTACACTGTGAGACTCTCATGACCCCGCATGACGCCTCCCCAAAACCCTAATGCTCGTCTGAATTGTCAAGCGTGGCCGTTGAAAGGACAAACCATGATCCGGAGCTGAGGGATAGCTAACCACTCTCGGCTGGGACTGTCCTGCCCTCGTCTCCTGTTCAAAAAGCTTTTGCTGATGGTGAAAGGGCTCCAGAGGACGGGCTTCCAAGTTAGTGATTCACGCCACTTGCTGACAAAACCGCTCTTGGAGTTTATATGCATCGGCAATGATCCTCTCGTACGACCAAGTTTCCGGATTTTGGGAACACCTGCAAAAAAAATAAGTCCAGAAATCTTGCTGTAAGCATCTGCAACAGCCGAACTTACTTTGAAACTTCGGCTAGCTTTTTTGGCAAGTTTGCTTCTCTATAGAACTCATCTTGAAACCGCTTATGGTCTTCCTTTTTGTCAATCTTCAGGAGGTTCCCCTCGATTCAGGACAATTTGTGGTTGTAGTTTCTTGTCTAAAGCAGGTAAGATATAAAAAGCTCTGGACGAAAAGAAGTCCTTATCAAGCAGCGTACTTAGCCTTGCAATTTCTGGATGGTCACATACCTTCAGCCTTTAAAAGAAGATAGAAAACGATTGATTGACAGGAGCTTAACAGAACCATGTGCTTAACCTCCGCGTAAGACTTCTCAACTTTCCTGATTTCAATCATTAGAAACAAATAAAATGTTGCTTTTACAATGGAGCGTTGCTGCAACATGTACCAAAATAAACTTTTCCATTACAACTATAGATACTTACCTCATCAGTGCTTGTCCTTAGACAAGGAATTGAGGTCTTTTTTAACCTTCTCCAGTCAGAGGCTGTAGTAAAATAAGCATGAGAGAAACGAAAAGAAATGTACCTTCACCTCTAAAGTGTCAGCTTCCCCACGTTTTCTTCCATTCCCTGGTGAAAATCCTCCGGGCGAAGACTTTCAGCCAGCTTCTTCTGCATTTACCGGGCTTCCGCGTCCTCCAATGCAGAACCTTCTGCATGCTAGATTGAATCTACAAGTAGGCGATTTTCTAAAACATGGAGAACCAAAGATATTTACTTCGTCCCTTTTACCTTTCCTCCACTCGATTTTATTGTTCTCCTCTGACTCTTCATCGTCTTCATCGTTTAGAATGCCAGTTCTTTGCCTCGGGAACTTCGCTTGAGAAGGAAAAAGCAAAAACCTCTGCAATTGTAAGCTACTTTGCCTCCTCTTCATACTTCGTCCCCATCTTCTTGGCTTTTCTTCTAGATTCAAGACCGGATGCTCCAACTCTTCTTTGCCCCTAAACACCGCACATTTCTCACTTGGATTTATAAACATTAGTGGCTATAATTTTTCAATACCATTGTTTGGACTCGAGTTGTCATATTCATGAAGCGTCTTTTAGGATGGCCGAGATCTACAAGAATGTAATCTTTTGGTATCTCTAGATTGTATTCTCAAGATGAATTTTCATGGAGTTATCCATCCCCTTAGAGCAGTCACAATGGCTTCCAGGTTCTCGATCTGCTTGGGCTCGCCGTGCCTAAACAGCCACCTTCTCTTTGCTGCCATCTCCCAAGGGAGATCAGCATGTACAGGTACACCACAGATACCAGCGGCTCATTCTTGCGTCCATACTTACGAACGTCTGCATGCCCCAGCTGCTTGACTGCCTTCCACAACATCTCGTTGCCTCGCTCCACTATCTCTGGAACCTTGTAATCCTCTGGACGCATGTTCAACACCCATGCTTCCCCAAAATCGGTCCTGCATTTGATCAACTCCTCAGAATTGAATTACATACATACCCTCTAAAGCATAGCTGCTGATTTACGTACCAGTGCTTGCGTATGTACCAGTGCTCGCGTATGGTGCAGTTCCTCAGGCTAAGCTCAAGTATAGACGGGTTTTGCTCCACAAGGTACCCGTCTTTGAGAGCCTAAAAGGGAGAAGAAAACACAAAGTTTCAGTTAAGACACTATGTAATGTTTACGTGCACTCCTCTCGTGCATATTTCACCATCTACAGTTTGTCACAGACGAATCATACGCTTCGCTTCAGAAGAAAAAGCACTTACACGTCAAGCTGTGGTCGTAGTAGACTTGAAGGTCGCAGCGGACAAGCCTGAGGCGAGCATGAGAAGCACAGTTGAGGAGCGAGTGGTAGAGCGGGAGGGTCGAGTTTGGGGGCCGACGCAAGTGCCTCGCCTCCTTGATGCGGAACGGCTTGAAGACAACGTAGGCTGACGTCGCTAAATCAGTTTCATGCGGGAGACACGTTTCGCCTACGGCCTGAGCTCCGAGTACGCTTCTGCGACCCTCTTTTGCACCTCTGGGACACCCTCGCTGGCCCTCCGGAGGTTCCAGCCCAGCCTGTCCACGGGCAAGCACGAGAAGTAGTCGCTCTTCATCAACTTGTAGACAAGATCAAAGATGTTGAGGGCGGGTTCCCTTCCTGAAATATACAGAGCACGGTTAGAGACTCAAAAAGAATAAAAGCATACCACTACTGTAAAAAGGTTGCTCGAAATATCCGGGTGCCCGATAGCTGACAGGCTGGGACTGTCCAGAAAGACTGCCCTCGTCTCCTGTTGCAAAAGGATTTGGTCAGGAAAGCATGCGTATACCAAAGATGAAGCCGGATGGTGGAGGGCGGAAGGGCGGGAGAGGACGGGATTCCGAGTCAGTGGGCCAACGATTTACGAAACGACGGGGACACACTCCAACGCTCTTGCTGGCACAAAACCGCTCCAGCGCCTCCCACACTTCGTCTTCTTCGTGTGAATCGTCGAAGTCGTGCCGCAGCAGCTCCCGGGCGAAATCCGCAAGAAGGCGCAGCTGGAAGCGGCATTTGGCACATCGTTGCAGTGGTAAAGATGGTCGTGCTCGTCGGGGCTCAGGTGCCCCAGGTGAAGGATGCCGACGTAAGTCACCAGGGAAAGCTCGGCGACTGGAATCCAATATAGTTGTCCATAGGTTCGCACATAGCGTTCAAGAGCGTGCGCCTCAAATGCGTCTGCTCTTGCTTCCTCGTAAAACCCAGTTGCGCGAAACGCGTCGGCCAAGGTGCCATCTCTTCAACCTTAAACCATTAGGGTATTCGTTTTTCAGGTTAGAAAAAATAGATGATGATTAAAGGAGTAGAAAGTTGGCACACTTTCTGTACATGCACGTCAGAAAAGATGGCGAACCTACGCTCATTGTGTTGTAACTTTCCACTCTAGACCGGCACGGTGGCTAGTGATCCGCGTCGTACCTCGAAACACAACGTCGTGCCTCCTCCTCAGTCGAAGGTAGCACTCTCCGTACGACCATGTCCCCGGATTTGGAGCTCGACGTGTCTAACGTGAAAGTAAAATGGAATGTGTTCGACACCTGCGAGAACACAATCCAGAGACCTTGAGCACGCTTCTCTATACTTCTTGTGACTCACCTGTGACGATCGTGACTCGGGTTGCGTTACGATGGCCTTCACCTCGACGTGAATCTTCGGCCGCGCGGAGTTCTCTTCCTCGGTGTACAGCACGCAGGATCTAAAGCGCAGGAAATCACCCACATCAACCTGTTGTGAGAAAAGGAGAGCTTGGATCAAGCAAGTTCTTTGCAACGCGTATATATACGAACCGGACGAAGGAAGTCGACGTGATCCACCTCCAGGAACACTGGCCTGTGCCCCCCGAATACGTAGCACGTAGAAAACGCCAGCTCGAACGCTCTGCGCATGAGAAATCCTCCAAATATCCGGCCGTGTAGATTGCGCTGCTGGGGCTGGCAGATGATCGCATTCTCCAGCTTGGTGTGCTGGATGAGTATGCTGTTCTTGTCCGCCAGAGCCGGCATGTCGGTCAACACCCGAGCCTCTGCCAGCAACTGCTGCACTCTCTGGTCGTCGGCTTGGTCGGGCTGCTTCGACCGGGCTTGCTTTCGTTTCAGCTCGAGCTGCTCGGTCGCGGCAAACAGCGCCTTCTCTTCGTCGGTCTCCGGCGAGAGATGGTTCACGGGTGCCGACTTTTGAGTCTTGGAGTCGCGGGCAACGAACGTGAAGTTTGCGACGAGCGCGAGCGACTCGTCGGTGACAATCTCTGTAAAAGAGAGAGAGAAAAAAGTTGTGAAGTGAAGAGGTGATCGTAAACAAGGAGCTATACCTGTTGCGGGCTGGATGACTTGCATTTGGATCTTCATGGACGATCTCCCGACCCATGCAACCGCACCAGCCAGCTTTAGATCGACATCGACACGCAAAGGCTTCTTCAAGCTCACTTTGTCCACCGATGCTGTGACTAGAAGCAGTGGCCTCGTCGTGCTATCATCATCGGCACAATGCTGGAGAAGGGAGAAAAAAACCATCAAAGAATGAGCAAGAAGAACAAAGAAAACGAGAGAGAAAAACTGCTAGCGAGATCTAGATCTCTTACCTTCATGGCAATCGTCCCGGCCAGAGCATCCAGATCCTCCATGAGCTTCCCCATCCGGATGTTGTTCCAGGGATTCCTATACTGCTCCCGAAGAGCAACGTCGGACACGAAGTTGTAGAGCACGCTAGTGCGGCTCTCGCCGGGAGCCCGCGTGAGAAGATTGACCTGCGAAGGCCCATCGTTTGACGAATTCACGGCCCTCTCCAGCAGCGTGGAGCGCGCATTCCACAGCGCGGCGGTCACTGGCGAGTGGTACATACCCGGCCACAGGCTGAGAGGCTTGTGATGCGGCCGCAATTCGTCGCCACCGCCGTTGGCCTGGCTGAGCGATCGCCGCGCCGCCGTGGAGTAGACAGGAATTGGCGGATGATCCAGAGCTGCTGCCGCTGGATCCATCGCGGCCCTAAGAAGGAGAGGGAGAGAAGTGGGGGAGATCCCGCGGCGGCGCCAAGCGCATTGGAACCTAACCCTGGCTGCCATGGACGCGGAGCTTCACGCCAATGCCGTGAAGAAGTACTCCTGCCGCCATAGCCTTTTAGGTCACGGGCGGATATTCTCCACAATTCAAAACAGGCGGCGGTAAAGCAATGTTGACTTTAGGGCTCGCGTGGCAGGCGAATATTCGTTCGAGTCAAAATAGTCAACACTAGTCAACGAGCATTACAGGTTCAATGTCGGGATTCCAAAACAAAGCCAGAAATCTTCCGTGCTTTCGGACGAAGAATTTCTTGGCTGTACTTTTTCAACGAACAAAAGAAAACAAGAACACCAACTTGCCTGTCCAAGCAAAAGTCCAAATCGCCACAAATTTGTCACTGCTCACTGCTCTTCTGAAAGCCAAAGCTCACGAAACTAGAACACAAAGAGCCAAGGAGGAGAACTTACAAGCTCACGAGCATTGCGGTGGTGGCGACGAAGCAAACGACAGATGGAAAGCCGAGAAATGCAAGCAGCACTCTCACAGCGACGAGGGACGGGTGCCTCTCTCCAGTCTCCACTGTTGTTGTTGTCTCCGTGACCACGCCAGCCCCTTCGGTTGTTTCCATCGTCGTTGTTGTTGCTGCCCGTCCACCGATCGTTGCTATACTGCCGCTGCAAATCCCTCCCGACTGCTGGAAGCGCCTGAATCGCCCACCGCAAGTCACTGGGGTGAACTCCAGACCTCCGCTCGGCAGCTCTCGGATCACGGCCAGAAGCTCCTGCATTTGCTCTCGGGAGAAGTCCTGGCGAAAGTGGACGACGGGCCCTGCTGTGCTTGGAAAGAAAGAGCTCGATAGCACTCTGCCTTGCCGGATGCTCTGCTTTGAAAGTACCATGAAACCAGAACGGAAAACCAAAGAAGAAAAAACTACGGAAGAAAGGACCACTTACACAACTGATCCAGAGTCGAAGTTGACATGGAACTTGAAGGCCATCACGCTGGCGGTGTGACGAATCTACTCGAAATGCTCCATGACGCATCGCCATCGCTCCACAATCTTCTGGTTCTTGCCAGGCGGAAAGCATCGCAAACTTCTGTGGAGAAAAACTTTGGTGGCGCGGTACCATCAAAACACCGGGGTCCGTTTTGCAACGCTCGTTAGGACACCGGGAAGGTGCTTCATCAAAACAGCATTGCTGAAATCGACACTGTAGAATTAGAAATCTACACCAAAGTTTACCCCATCTCACTTTTCCAGTCATATACTTGGCCTGGTTTTCTCGAAGAGTTATTCCTTACAACTTCTTTCCGTGCCTTGCTGCTTTTGATCGGGCCACGATAGAGTCAGCCGAAGAAAAGACCGAGAAATCTAAGAGAACGAAGAAAAAGCCAGCGCTGACCTCTGACCAAATTGTTTGCAACATCGACCGGAACAACAAGACTTGCAATCGAACACTCTCCTTCACCAAGTTGTGAGTTCCAAACAGTGAATTTCGATAGAAGTGCAAAGCTAGAGTTTGATTTAAAGGAAACCCAAATGCTTCTCGTCTCTTAAATCCGCTCGAAAGAGAGCTCTCTATCCTCTACTATAACACTAATGATACCAGGGCATAAAATGGATCCTTTTTAGGTTCTTGGTCAAATCGAATATGCTTCTTTCGCTGTTTAGTTGTCGGTATTGGCACAGCTCGCGATTTCTGGACGATTTCCGAGGAAATCCACAGGAAAGCTCTTTGGAGGAGCGATCGACACCTCTCGCAGCCTCTCGGTCTCCAGCGCCAGGCGATTGAATCGCGTGTCGGCGACGACGAGCGCCCGGATGGACTTGCTGCGCAGCGTCACGACTGGGATCTGCGTGGAGAAGCACTCGTCGATCGTCAGCTCCTCCAGCGCCGGGCAGCACGCCACGAATCTCTCCAGATCGTCGCCGTGGAAGATCACATTGGCGAAGCGGCATGTCCTGAGCTCCGGGAAGCGGCAGCCCTGGGGGATCCCATCGAAGTATCCAAACTCGAGCGAGAGGGAGGAGAGCCTGGGGCATCCGGAGAGAGAAAGGAGGAGATCCGAGAAGGCGCAGCCCTTGTTGCTGAGCTTGAGCTCGCGGACGCTGGCGCTAACGTGCTGGATCCATAGCTGGACGGCATTCTCGCACAGACACACGAGCGATGGCTCCGTGGGGGAGAATCGCAGCGATAGCTCGCCGATGCCGCCGCCCTGGACCCTGGAGATGGCCGCCCAGACGATCTTCTCGGCGTCGAGCGACCTCACCACGCAATCCTGCTTCCACGACTTGGGGAAATCGAAATGCAGCGCCGGGACGCGCGCCGTCCAGCGCCGCCAGTCCCGCGACACGGCCGAGCAGCGCAGCAGCGCCTTGGCGTCCCTGATCTTGGACAGAATGCTGTCGACGATGAGATCGTCGGGGAGAGATTGGAAATCAGCCATCAAAGGCAGAAGAAAGAGCGTCGCAAGAACAAGAAGCAGAGATCCAAAGAGCCTTGCGAGAACAAGGGACACACACCCTGTTCCTGAGAAACTTATAGTACCATTGGGCCCAATCGCAATGAGCCACTGGCCAGTGCCGTACTCGCGACAAAAACCTTGGTGGTATGGTTACACGATCTCGTCCCGCCATTGGCCACGTACATTATTTCCTGTGTTAGTGTAATAGAGTAGCGAACGTAAGGCCTGTCTGAGACCACGTGACAGCTTCTAGAAGCTATTCCCCATGTGCCATTACACCCAATCTTAGGGTTAGGGCAAGTCAACACCTTTAGATGTTAAACCCGATAGATCCGGATTTAAAAAAGAGGCTGGCCAGTCGAAAAGCTCTAACTTGTTTTGAAATAACAGGTCGATGATAATATTTACTAAATAGCATATTGGTATATATAAATAAGTGCGTGATCAGGAAGAACAGCAGCTTAGGCCGGAGTCTTGAGGTTTGGAGCTGTTTCCATTCTCGAGGCCGAGTTTCTTGGTGCCGCTGAGCGTCCGCGCCTTCGAGGAATCGGAGGAGAGGATTTTCTTGCTCACCATGCCGAAGATCTCCTTGATCACCGTCTCGAACGCGGCGGCCACGTTTGTGGAGTCGAGCGCTGAGGTCTCGATGAAGAAGAGGCCCTCTCTCTCGGCGAGATCGGTGGCCTCCTCGATGGAAACCTGGCGCAAGCTTTCGAGGTCGGACTTGTTGCCGACGAGCATCGTGACCAGGCTAAAGTCAGAGTACACTGCGAGAAAACAAAATAGAATCAAAGACTTGTGGATGTTTGAAGCAATGGTAGAGAAAGTAAACTGAAACACTCAAAGTCAGACATTTTCCCCGTGATCACGTCAGAAGCAAAGAAAGAATCTGACAAACTGCGAAATATAGAAAAGGACTCAAACGCTCCCAAAAATAAAAATGGAAAAAAACACCCTCGAAAAACTCGCCTCGAGAAGAGCAAACTAAGTTCAACGAAAACAGAAAGAGAAAGAAAACAGTGGGATCTTCCGCGACTTCCAACGACCGCAAAGAGGACAAAGACACAAGAGCTAAAAAATTTACTCGCTACCTAGAGAACAGTGGACGATCGCACAACCAAAGAAATGACAAAGGAAAGAGGAATGGATGTGATGGTGGAGTTCGTGGAAAAGGATGCAAAGAAAGAGATCTAAAGGATTGATTGAATAGATCTATGAATCGATCCAGAGTAGCTTACCTCGGAGTTCTTCCAGCCATCGCTCCACATTCTCGAAAGTTTGCTTCTGGCTGATATCATAGACGATCATCGCTCCCACGGCGCCCCTGTAGTACGCCGAGGTCACAGCTCGAAACCTCTCCTGGCCGGCGGTGTCCCAAATCTGGGCCTTGACCTCCTTGCCTTCGATCACCATGCTCTGCGTCTGGAACTCCACGCCGATGGTGGCGCGCGAGTTGAGATGGAATTCATTGCGCGAGTACCTGGAGAGCAGATTCGACTTGCCGACCGCGGAATCGCCGATGAGGACGATCTTGAAGAGGTAGTCGTCGCCATCGCTGCCGCCATGGCCCATGGCGCGAGGCGGAGCTTCGATCTTTGCTCGCTAGTCGCTGCCTAGAGACAAGGGGAGGAGGGATTCTCCAAATGCGCCAATGCCATGGCAGGAGCTCCGTGAGGGCTTTGCAAAGGCAATGTATGTAAATTAGAGAGGCCTGGCATCATTGAATACACTAGGAGGGGAACATACTTCCTTGCTCTCTGTGTATTAACAGTGTTGTGTCAGATGAGAATATACAAGAATCATCTTCGTTTTGAATTATGTATTATGATAACTATAATGATGTTAGCTTATATCTATAAAATAAAAAAAGTGAATTAGGCTAATAACATTTTAAACATTATTTCTTTTAAACTTGGATATTCATGGTATATCCCTTTTAACATATAGATCTGGATAATGAGGAAGACCCTTCTATCGCGCCTTGATAACTTTTGGGTGAGCAACAAGGCCGTCATCCTCCGAGTAAAAAGTGGATTATAAAAATTAAGCAACTCTAGGCTGTAACTTGCTTGACCACTATGCAGGTGTTGTTCAGCGAGTAAGACTTTTCGTGATTCTGGCAGGATTTGATTTGTTCTGACGCCTGTTTGTGGATTTCTAGACGCTGTGTCGTTGGCAGACGGATTGGCGCTTGTCAAGATGGGAAACACGGTAAGGATGTGTGTGACGTTTCGACTGATTGATTGGAACTTTGGGATTTCGTGAGTTCGACAATGCTGGCTGTAGTAAAGCTAGAGACGATGGAGCCTGCTGCTGATACATCCAATCAAGGTTGCTTGAGTGAGTCTTTCTTGAGTAAAACACTATTCTTCTACACTTTACTGTGAATTTTCGTGATTTTTCGAGCAGCTGTAGATTATGCTCGAGTCAGTAGAGCGCTTTGTAAGTCTCTCCAAGCCAATTTTTGCTCTCTAGTTTTTGCTGAGATTTCCAGGAAATCTAAAGATTATCCAGTGTAAGGCTATTCAAAATTGGATCTATTTTCTTAAATCTCGTGTTTTTTTTCCAGGAGACTCAACGTGAAAAACGGTAAAGTTGCTCTCACCTGGGATCGAGGTCATGCGTTACAATTGAAAGGAAAAACTTTTCTGGTGTGTTTTTGAGAGCTTCACAGCTAGCTAGCAGTGCGCCACACCGCACCCCTGCCCACACCGCTAAGCACGCCACCGCCACCATGCCACCATGCCACCACGCCACAACGGCCGCTCAGCCTAGCCCGCCACCACCATCCCTCCACTGCCCAGCCAATGTTAGTTAAATGTGATTTCAATTTGGAAAGGTAATATTGTACTTTTATATAAATATGATAAAATCAATGTTACTAATAAATAATAAAATTGATTCACTTATTAGTTTACTTTATACTTTGTTCACATCTGGGATCATTTGCCACTTGCTGTTTGAGAACACACTATAAATCTTCTCTTTTCACAATTCCCATCATTTGGCAGATTAATTAGATTTGGCTAAAGCGATATCTTTGTTGAATTAGAAGCTACTCTTGAATATTTCAATCTTACATATTTGTATCCTAAAATCTTTGATCAAACTACCATTAAATTAAAATATTAAATTAGAGTTTGTGAAGAAGTTTTTGGTTGCAAGAGGAATTCCAGTTGCATATGACACTTGTATGGTATGTTTTGGAGGGTATGGCCTGGAAAAAAATGTAAAATAAAAATATATTCGTGCTTGAATTGTTGTATGTGATTGCATATTATTTTTGGACCACCACAAAAAATGTTTGCATATAAATTTTTTTTCAAAGGTCATGCAAAATCCAAACAACCACTAGTTATTTATAGCCTGGCCTTTATGGCGTCGGACTCTAACTTTCGTTCTTGATTAATAAAAACATCTAAGGGTTGGATAATCTTCTTGTTGCGGTTGTTAAAATCTTGTGTTTTACTGGTCCCATTAAATTAGTTAATTATATTTTTAATTGTTTCATGAACAATTCTAAAATATACTTAAATATTCTTAGTATCTTACTTCAGTATTAGGGCTTTGAGGCTTCTTCATAGTAAGTTCTTTGATGAAAATCTCAACGTAGCTCATAAATTCACTGCAGTGGAAAGGCGCCTTAAACAAGCTTGGGCTTTTGCTGTATGAACACGAGAGACGTGCGATAGAGGCCAACCTTACTACCTCTTCCTCTTCCTCGCAGACTATGACGGAGGACGTGCTCGCCCGAGCAGGGGACGACTGCCTCAAACAGGCCAAAGTGTTCGTGCCCTTCATACAAGCACCTCCAAACATGGAAGGTTAGGCGGACTATAACCAGCAGACTGTGGAGCTTCACCACGATCTGGTAAGAAGGTGGCAGGACATGGAATGTGACAGCTTTCAAAACTTTTGGGTAAGCAAGAAGGCCGTCGTCCTGGACGCTCTTCCCAAGGAATGCCTGGTTCAAGTAGTCACAGACGAATCTGACAAAAAAGTTATTGGGGTTGAGTTGTATCGACAGCAGCGTAGTCTGTTCGTGGCGCTTGCCAAAGCTATAGCTACTGTGCAAGGGGTGCTCGTTGACATTACATGGGGTTTGAAAGGGGCTGAGGACTCTATTTTTGAAGGCGGGTACTCCAGGAGGCCAAACAGCTTCTTCAAAATCGGCGATACATGGGTTGCTATAGAGCTGAGGACAAAGGGTGATGACCACAAGGGTGGTGATTCTTGGCAACTTGTTGTGGAAGCAGAGAACGAAAACTGAGCCGTTCTACTCGTTCCAAAACGAAGTCTTTGGTCTTGTCGGAACGGCATGGACGTGCAGTGCGTGAGGCAGATCCATGCATACGGGGCACGCATGAAAGCTTACGACGGGCCCCTGCTTCCAGTCGCGGGTGGGGATTTCAAACTAGGGGATAGCTACACAGTAGACCTCGAGTCACCAGCTTTGATGTTGCTCTTCATCGGATTGTGGTGACCAATGCGTCCAAGATAAGTCCTCGTAGCAAAATGAAGGACGGCTACTACGGGTGCGTCAAACTCACGACCAGGGCTGGTTACTGGGTCAGCGACGAGTATTTCCCTGTAAGCTAGACAGTCGCTCCCTTCAAGAAAATCCTGGTAACTGTCGTGGGAGCTACCCGGAACAACAAAATATCTGTGGTTATGAAAGTCTTTTGGGAAGGCGAAGTGTGGTGGCTCAAAGTTGGCCCAGACTCTGAGGCACGTAGACAGGACCGGATGAGCTCCCTACTGGAGGCTGGGAAAGGTGGTTCCAGACGGAGAGAGACATGATATCCAGGGCATGCTGGGTGACGGTGCTGGCACTGCTTTCCCGGTGACAATCGAAGGTGCCAACAGGCCGGCGATGCTTGTCAAGGATGCTGGTGATTCCCTCTCCAAGCAATTGTTCTCGAGGGAGTTTGCACCGGCTGACGTTTATGAGATGAGCAAGCAGCTGTATGAGGCTCTGGAGGCCAGTGGCACGAAAGGAGTCATTCACGGGGACGTTTGTCTCGAAAACATCTGCTGCAAGGGTGGTGGCTACAGCTTGATAGACTGGGGCCTGGCCTGCGATCGTCCATTTTCGAGCCTGGTATCTGCAGTGAACAAGGCCTGGCCGGGCCTGGACGTGATGCCCAAAATCCCCAACTGGGAGATGTCCCCGGATTGTTATTTTTGTGAGGGGAGGTCCAGCAACGTGGTGCATGACCAGGAAAGCTTGCTTAATTGCTGCCTCAAGATTCTGGGAGGCAACACCCTGCCTTGGAGCAGTGCTGCTGACGAATTTGAGGTTCTTCAACTGAGGACTGCAAGCATGAGATCTCTCACCGAGGAGCACGGACGTCACCTTTACCTGCCACTATTGTGCAAGTAAGTGCTCTCTCTCTCTCTCTCTTCCTGATTCTATTGTTTGTGATGTGAACAGGCTCCGTGGGATTGTCCTCGGGGCTCAATGACTGAGAGATTTTTTATTATGAACGATGTTATTTCGGCTACAACATACACTTGGAGCCTCAACTTTGACCACTTTGGTCTCGAGTGACTCATCTAACTATTGGATCGGGCGATTAGCAGTGATGAAAACAAATCCTTAAGTAATATTTCTTGCGCTTAAAGTGTATTATCTTAGTTTAAAACGTAAACAAACAATAGCGATGATGATCTTGGGTCAAAGTGAAACTTGAGAACAAGAACAAAATTGACCCATTACTACTTTGGCTGCGAGCACCCCACAAGCCATCAAAGAATCTTAAAACCCCCAGTCCAACTGGAAACAAACAGCACACAATGCTAGAGTGACGCACCTTAAGTAGTACAAACTGTTGGCCCCTTCTCAAATAACCTCTCTCAACACACTGCTCATCCCGCAAAGTGGCAAAGACGAAGCACAAGAAGAAGAAGAAGAATGAAACCTCCCCAATCCCCTCCAAAAGCTGCCACTCACTCCACTCCACCACATCAAACACACCGCTCAAGATCAAAACACTAGCAAGAGCATCCCGTGAGACGCAAAACGGGGCACTGAATAAGACGATCTCGCGGCCGGCAATTGTAGGACCCAAGATCCCACTCTCATAGCCAAACAACAAAAACAGTAGCCTTTGGGCCTTCCTGTTCTCTCGCGGACAGCCGACGGCCACGATTCGCCCGGACCATTCAAATTCGAAATTTGAACTTTGGCGCGAGATCACGGTGGAATATCCCGGCTGGTCGCGCGAGAAAAGCCAAGCTTGTCAATGCTGTGTGCCAAAGGCCTCCCTCTTTTGCACGCTCGTGCCCTTCTCCTACCCCCTCGCTTATCAAATTACTAAACTATTGCCGTGTAGGTACCCAGCGGATTTGTATAAGTATTCATCTCCTCCTTGCTCGCTCCCCCCTTGTTTGGCTGCAGTGTTTTATAATCTTCTCGGTGCTTGCTCGTATAAAAAATTCTCTCCTTTTTCCTTCCATCCTCTTCTTCCCCTTCCCTGTGAGCTTTTCTCCCCTGCTCGAGTGGTGTGGAGCAAACCATCTATCCTGTTTGTGATCTAGCCAGCACCACCAAATCCATCCTGTCTGCGTGGTTTGCAATCGTAGCTAGCAGCACAGCTCCATCCTGTCTCGTGATCCATCCTGTCATGTGATCCGATCCTGTCCAGCGATCACTCCATTCTGTTTGTCAGAGTAGCACTTCCATCCATCCTGTTCGTGATCCATTCCAGCGAGCAGGGAGCTCACACTTCGTCCTGTTTGTGATCCACTCCAGCGAGCGGGAGCTCTCACTCCAGCAGCACCAAACTGGAACTTCCCCCAAGAGTTTCTCATCCGGGATCATGGCCAACTGGAGAGCTTCTTCGGCGCGGCAGCAATGGAACTCGAGAGCTCCAACAGCAGCGGCGGCGGAGGACGATTCCTGGGAAGTGAGAGCTTTCGCCGAGGACGCCGCCAGCTGCAGCGGCCAGTGGCCTCCACGCTCCTACTCTTGCAGCTTCTGCGCCAGGGAGTTTCGGACGGCCCAAGCTCTCGGCGGCCACATGAACGTCCATCGTCGCGAGCGAGCATACGCCAACCAGCTCGGCTTGATCTCCAAGGCGGCCTCCAATTCCTCGTCCGCCGGCGTAGCTCCTGTTCCTGTTGTCCCTCTCGGTGGCGTTGGAGCCGGCAGCAATAACAATCCTGCCGGCAATGCTCCCAGCATTCCCAGCTCCAACGATCACTCGTCAGCTTCTGGAGCTCCTTCCACTCCACCAGCGCTTGGATTTTGCTGGGTGTATCCGTATCACCATCCTCTAAACCGGCCACCTATACATATGCATCCCGACCACGCTGCGAATTTCGTCTATCCACAACAAATGCCCGCTGCTGCTGCTGCCGCTGCTGCCATTTTTTCTCCTCATCCCGTCATTGCTGCGAGCACTGCTGCTGGTCCCGAATTGTCACTGTCTCCACCGAATGTGTCCTTGAGCACCACTAACAACAGCTCGTCGCTTTCGTCGTCGCCGTCCCACAACTTGGCCTCCCTGAATTCCAGCAGCGGCAGCGACTCTTCGACCGGTAGCCTCCGAAAGAAACTAGCGGTTGCTGTCAGCTTCAACCAGCCTTCACCAGACGAGAATGGAAATGTGATGATGAAGTGTCCTGATCTGTCCGGGATGAAACTGATCGTGGTCGACGGCGAGGCGAATGCGCTTGACTTGGAACTTCGGCTGGGACACTCGAAATCGATATCCGAGCCTTCTTAAGTTTTTTGCTCTAGTTTTGGAGGAACCATTATTTTGACACCCAGAATTTTGCGTCCTGGAAGGAATAACAGAAAAGCTGAAAACGTTTAGAAATAAGAAAAGTAAAAGGAAGAAGAAACAGGACCACCTTACCGGCTTCCCATTCGTTGCCTCCAAGGAGAAAAGAAAATCGTTGTTGTATGTTCGGAATCTTGTAATCACTCCGGTTTCTTTCCCACTGAGAAGATATTGGTCGCCTGTGCCGTTGCTGACTTAAACAAGTCCTCTCACGCTTGGCAGCAAAACAGGAGCCTGTGCGATGTACTTTGATATCTTAAGCCTCTTCTTCGTTGCCACTGATCGTTCCGTCTCCGAGCACCAGGACGCAAAGTACCGTCATACCGAAAGTGTGGGACTCGTGTGGTGTGGAAGTCAAAAGATGGTGCTGTCATCGTTTCTTTAGTTTATGTTTCGCGTTGGTGAAGGAGAGGTTAGCTAGTCCATGCGTTCCTTGCAGCAGTCGGGTGTACAAACCACCAGCCTTTTGACTTGCGTCGATTCACCTGAATTTCTTCGCCTTCCCCCTGTGCCCGTTACTTCACCCACCTGTGCCTCTACTAGTACTGAGAAGAATGATTTGGCCATCTTTCCCAGTCAAGGACTCGCAACTGGATTCAGCAAGCAGTAAGCATCCGGATGAAACACGATAACACCTTCCCTGCCGTTTGAAGGTGCGCATCTCGGCTCTAGTGTCCTGTCCACAACCTGGGGAAAATTCTCACCTCGCGGCTGGCTGTAACGTTCGACAGATTAAGAATGACGTCATACGCCGCGGAAGAGCGAAATTTGCTCACCTCTGTGAGCATGGAAACCTCCCGTCGTGACGTTTATTTGTCAGTCCCACATTTTGACGCTTTCGGGATCGGTTCAAACAATGGGAACTCTGACAAAGATTCATCAGTCAGACAAAAGAATGAAAAGAAAAAAGCGTAATGCAAAACTACAAGAATACGTACTTGAGTTCTAGCTGAGTCGTATCTCCTGGCGTTGTTAGAGCCTGTGCTACCATTCCCGTGACTGATGACTGTTGGTGCGGACTGTACTGAGTAGTGACCATCAGCTAGGCCGGAATCCCGGCATCTGGCGATTGCGGACGCGAGCTTCCAGTCAAGCCTTTCTATCGACGCAAGCACACTTGTCTCTGCTCTTGACAGCGCTGTCAGATCAGCTACACGGGCCCTGTGCTTGAATCCCCGGGAATCCACAGTACCACTTGAGGAATGATAATTTCCATCTCTCGCTGGATACGAAGGCAAACTACTGCCACCGGTAGAACACTGCTTGCCCGAGGCAACCTCAGAAGTACTATCCCATAAGGTAGGAAATTCACTGTAAGTCGTTGGTTCTGGATCCTGCTGCGCAGGAACTGCGCACTTCTGCTCACTGCAATCACCAAAACCGACTTCCCAAGCCTCAGACCTGTAAACTTTGCAGTCTCTACTTAGCATCGTCCTCTGTGACTCTTCCTCGTCCCTGCTACATGCCGAGGCCTGGGGAAATTGTATTGTGTCTTGTGAGACTCCTACTCCTAGCATGTCCTTCATGCTCGAGCACCTGTTCGTCTCGTCCTGCTCGTTTCCCAAACCGCATGCCCTTTGTGAGGTCATTGGTTGTAAGTCGTCCAGACGTGATTCAAGGCCAGTAACTTCAGCAATCATCCGATTCGTAGCATTTTCGTTATCCAGTCGGAGCTTTAGTGCCTCTTCGAGAAATGCATTCAAGTTGTCCATAGAAGTCTTCTGTTCATCAGCAGCCAAAGCCTGAGGGATGGAAAACCTGCCTTCTGGCTTCGACAAAGTCTCTGCTGTAGTTTGAAGAAACGAGCTGTTCGATGACGAATCAGGATCCGGCCCGTCAAGAACTATAGTCGGTGATAGCGGTCTTATTACGTCTCCTCCCCTGGACTCGGCAAAACGGCCAAATTGCTCGCTGAAGAGCTGCCTTTCCGCTTCCTGACCATGGTCCAGTGCATCTTCTTTCACGACCGCAGCCGGATGGAACGTCACTCTCAGATTCTTCGCAGATGCACATTTTCTAAGTGCATTGTCCGTTTCCTCGTCTAAGGAACCTAGCAAACTGTAAGGTGGTTAATATATCTAAAGCAGACAAAGCCAAAAGGAAAATTCTTACCGCGATTGATCCCAAGTCAAGTCTTCTGATGGAGTTCTGCTTGGGACGTGTGTGCCCATTCGAAAGAAAAGCTGCCGAGTCTCATCACGCAAGAAACTGTTTTGAGCAGCAGCTTTCATTGTCTCTCTGAGCCTTGCGGCAAAGTCTTGGTTTTGTACGATGCAAGGCTTGCTTGGTTTTGCTTTTACCGTGGAATTCTGACGCGTTCTCAATGGCTGCTGCGTTGTATCCTTCGGACTCGTTAAATACAAATATGCAGACAATCGCGCTCTTTCTTTTTTCCTGCTCTCCAAGGCTTCTTTCACAAGCCTTTTATCCTCCTCTTCTTGCTGCCTTGCAAGTCGCTGAAATTTTCTGCAGTGTAAAAGTCATTAGCACGGAAGCTCGAGTAAAACTTTTCATAACATGCCAAAAGAGAAAAAATCAACACGACTATCCAATGAAAAAAGGGAACAAAGATTCTATAAGAAGAAATTATGGGCAAGTTCATTCTATTTAAGACAAAACAAAGAAAAAGACTAAACAGCTCTCAAGAAAGAAAGAAAGAAACTATCATAGAGCAGCTTAAGCAATATAACATCAGCTGAGCTCTGTGAGTCTTTTCCTTCGAAATTTTGGAAAAGAAAACGAGTGTTCCCGAAATTTCACACTAGAGAAGGGCGCTTACCTCTGCCGCATTGCCGTCTGCCGCGCATTGGCGATCCGCTTGCGCTCCATGATGGCGCGCGGCCCGGCGCCATCGCAATCCAGCCCCATCAGCCCTAACCCTAAAGCGACACCGTGCGCGCCGGCCTACATGGCTCCCTCCAACGCTCCTCCCTTCCCATGGCTTTCAAATTCAAACACTTGAAACCGGCCGGCGTACACGTGGCAAAACGTGGCAAACGGCAGCCACGTATACTCCTGGCAGTTCCACGTGGACATTTCGTACGGAAGCCCTTGATATTTGGTACCCTAAATCTAGGGTTTTTGTGGAAGGAAGCGTCAAGATTGTTTGCGGGGACGATCGAGCTCGATCGGGGCAGCTTGGCGCTCGAATGCAGCTTGAATCGCTGGAATTGTAAGCGGCGAGTGGAGCGCAGCAGTCATGAACGCCGGGCCGTCGGGATTTCGTGAGTAATTTCCGTCTGGATTGATTGATTGAGCTGATTGCGTTCTCCCGATCTCCAGAGAATGCTCCAATCACGAAGGGCGTTGTGGTGGTGTGTGGATTGGCGACGTTGCTCGTCGGCACTTCGCGGAGGAGCATCATCAAGGCTTGTGGTCTTTCCTATCAAGTAGCTGCGCCAAAAAAGAACTTTTTTTCCTTGTGATGCTGACCTCTAGGATTTTTTGGTAGGCCGTAGTACAAAATATCCAGCTATGGCGTCTCGGGACGGCGACCTGCGTTTTCTCTTCGACTCCCGAGCTAGTTTTCGGTCTCTATTTAATTTATTTCTTCCGGGTGTTTGAACGGCAGATCGGATCAAACAAGTACTCGGTATGAGCTGATAAGAAAATATAAATTCCTTTAGCTTGCTAACCATGGATTGATCACAGGTGTTCGTTCTTACAACTACAATCATCTCGACACTGTTGGAACTTTCCGTCTTGGCATTTTTCAGAGGTAATCAGCTCTAGAAACTCCGCTTTTATGGAATCTAAGATGAGTTTCGGGTGCTCGCAGATCCCACAACTTCCGGTATCAGCCTAGCGCCGGGACCTTATGGATTGATCTTCGCTTCTTTTGTACCGTACTTCTTCGACATACCAATCTCTACGCGCTTTCGAGTTTTTCGAATGCAGTTCTCGGACAAGACCTTCGTGTACCTGGCTGGCCTTCAGGTTCTCAGATCTTCTCTCCTTGAATTGTACCGCAACAATGCAAAGTTTCTTTGCGCAGCTACTACTCTCCTCGTGGAGACAATCTCTGATACCAGGCTTGTGCGGGGTGCTGGCGGGATTTACATACAGATCCAACATTTTTGGCATTAGAAGATTAAAGGTAAGCACAAAATCCGATTTTTACTGTTTCGCCTGACACAAATCGTCACCCAAACAGTTTCCAAAATGCGTGGCATCGTTCTTCTCTCGAATTTTCTCCCCCCTTCTCTTGAGCTGGCCATCGCCAGCCCCCAGAGGCTTGAGAGAGCCTTCGCGACGTTTAGTCGAGGTAAAAAAGAGCTTTTTGTTTTTGTTTCCAAAGGAAGAACAAGTTCTAAGTGACCATAATCTTTGCAGGGACCATTCGTTCCTCCGCAAGCTCCCGCCCGTGCAGCCGCTCCTCCACCGCCTCCTCCGGAAGAATCCATCGCCACTCTCGTCTCAATGGGCTTCGATAGAGGCCTCGCCATCCAAGCTCTGAGCCAAGCTCGAAACGACATGGTTGCGGCTACCAACATCCTCTTGGAGCAATCCCACTAGAAACTCCTTCCACTGTATACATTCTTCTCCAAAAGGGGCCCAAAAATCCACCGAGCACCAAAGTTTTGTTCTTCCCGGTTTGTCTTTGATCCTGGCTCTCGCGTTCCAACTCTCTGGCAGCAAAGCTTCGAGGATCGTCTACTCGGTTTGTCTTTGATCTTGGCTCTCGCGTTTTAACTCTGGGAGCAAGGCTTTGAGGATCGTCTCGTTCACGAGCGTCTCGTCCTCGGACTTGACACGCTGCTGCTTCCAGAAATCGATGGTGGCCATCTTCTTCTCCACCTCCACCAGATCGTGGAGCATGTTTGCACGCTTGAGCCCCTTGGACATGAGCGAGTACGTGATGGAGTTTGGCATCACCCCCTCGTCTTGCATCCTCTTGAACACCGCCAGCGCGTGGCTCACTCGGCCGTAGTGGATGAGCGAGTTGATGAGCGACGTGTAGTTGACGACGTTGGGCTTGCAGCCATTGAGCGGCATCTTCTCCAGCAAGTGCTCCGCGGCATCGATCTTCCCCTCCCGTCCCAGCGACTGGATGAGCACCGTGTAGGTGTGAGCGTCGGGCTTGCAACCAGCGTCGAGCATCTCCTGGTAGATCGCCATGGCCCGGTCGAAGTGCCTCATCTTCACCAGCATGTCGATCACGGTCGTGTACGTCCGCGTGTTGGGCTTCACCTTCAAGTCCTTCATCCAGTAGAAGATCTTCATGGCCAGGTCCGGGTTGTGCGACACCGAGAGCGTGAAGATGATGGAGTTCATCGTCACGATGCTCACCTCGATGTCGCTGCTCTGGAGCTTCATCAGGAGCTCCTCCACCTGCGAGAAGTGGTGGTGGCGGCCCAGCAGGCTGATCATCTTGGTGTAGACGAAGCTGTCGTGCTTGTATCCCGGCTGCTTCTCCACCCAGTAGAAGAACCGAAGCGCCGCCGTCACGTCTCTCATTCCCATGAGCACCCGCAAGACCTTCCAAGGATCCCACCGGAAGTTTGCGGCTTCCAAAGCCGCGGCGGTCTCGGGCGTCCATCTGTAGATAATTGTCGAGAAGGCCTTCATGTCGACGAGAGGCCTGTCCAAGCCTTCCATCACCTCCATATCCTGTAACGGGACGCTCCGTTCCTTAGTTTCACCACCGCTAGAGCCGCGGCGATCATCCTCTTCCTTGGTGGACTCTTGATCAGGAGTTTTAGCTTGAAAGTCTGCGTAAAGTTGGTCCGCCTCGATCATACTCTCCATGGCTTCGAGGAGAGGCGCTGCTTCGGTCAGCTTGCCAGCCTTCTTCAGCGCGTCCATCACCGTGAAGTACATTTTCCCGTTTGGCTTCTGATTCGCCTTCTTCATCCCTTCGAAGAGCCCCTTGAGTAGCTCCAAGTCACCCGCGCTGGCGGCGGAATCCATGAGCACTCTGAAAGTAGCAGCTGTTGGAGAAGCCTTCAAACTGTCCAGCTTTTCAAAAACCAAGAGAGCTGCGTCCAGGTTTCCTGACGAGGCCAAGCACTGAATGAGCACGGTGTAAGTTCTCACGTTGGGCCGGCAGCCACCACTGACCATGTCTTTGAAAATTTCTCCAACTTGTCTAAACCTTTTGAGCTTCGTGAGCAGGCTCATGAGCATCGTGTAAGTCACCACGTTTGGCAGGCACCCCACTTTCAACATCTGGTTCCACATTTCCACCGCCCTGTCGATATCATCGGCCCGGCTGTACCAATGTATGACTGTAGTGAACAAAACCACATTCATCCCACAGCCGTAAGCGGACATGTCGTCTAAAACCTTCTGTATACCCGTGACATCCTTGACTCTTCCGAAAACTTCGATCAAGCTGTTGTAAGTATGCTCTGTGTGCCTGTATCCTTCAACTCCCTTCAACCACTGAAAGAATCCCCATGCAGCATCCGGTTCTAAAGGCTGCCTAAGCACCTGTAGGACGACCAGAGGATTCCACGGCACTTTCAGCTTCTCGACTTTCACCTGACTATCCTCGTTCCAGCCCATTTCCCGGAGAACGTTTCCCACCTCTATAGCTGCTTCCATCTTTGAAAAGAACGAGCCGATCGTGTCCCGGGACTTGAAGGGCTCCCACCGAGGAGGACGACATGGTCGATACATGTGAAGATTTCCTGCTTGAATGTTGAGCGGCGTCTCCTCCTCTGCTGGACTTTCCGACGTACTGGGTTCTTCCACTGCCCCGTTTCCATTTCGGTCTGCTGGAGCCAAGCCTCCGACCTGCGGGTGTTGCCGAAGAAATTGGAAGAACGATCCGTAGTGAGAGCCTTTGCCATTCTTCGCAGTGGTAGAGGGGGCTGCTGCTACTGCCGCACTGGAATGAAACTCGCAGTACCTATGCCATCGAGCTCTCCTCCAGCTAGGCCGCATTCCCCCAAAACCCTGAACCCTATACACTTCAGTAAACTAGAAGGAAAACAACACTAGAAACTTACACCTCAGTGCAGGAAGGACGCTTGATAAGCTGGGGGTGGCGGAGGGAGTCCACTTCCAAACTGGTAGCTGCTGTAAGAAGGATTCCCATAAGCTGCAGACCCGTAGAGCGACGAACCCAGCCCGTCAGCCGAATACAGATATGAGGTAGACATTGAAACTGGAGTTCGATTTCCAGTGTATGTCGTCGTTGCAAACCCCCCTTGGTTCCTCCTGTCATATCCTGTCTGGGAGGCCAACCCGTAGGTAGAGAGGCCGACGCCACCGAACTGAGCTCTGTCCGATGGCCGATAGAAGCTCCTTTCACCGTTTCCATAGACAGTTCCATTTCCATTGCAAGCTCGAGGACGCTTGGCTTGTGCTTTGACAGCAACTGCTGCTCGTTTCCTGTCGGCCTTGGCCCTCTCCAGCACATCGATCCTTTTCTGCAGCGACTGCGGAGGAAACTGAGCGTCCAGCTTGTATTCCTCGATGCACTTGATGACAGATTTCAAAGCTGACAGCTCCTTCATCGACGAGTCGTTCTTTACAGGAACAAATGCATTGTCAAAAGAAAAGTAGGGTAATATAAAAACTCTGTGGTACCTGTGCGGCAGCTGAGTTGTTGCCGTTCTTCAGGATCACTTGAGCTGACTTTCGAGCATCTTTGAGGTAGGCTTTGAGCAGCGGCACAGGTTCAACTCGATCCATAATCTCGAACGCATGAGCAAAAGCCAGTGCCTCAACTTGCTTTCCTTCCTTCGCAAGCTTGTCCACCACATCTGGAAGAACAAAGACATCAAGACGAAACGAACGTAATTCTCAGAACGCTTTCAACAAACAAAAGCAAAAACTGAACCAACGCGAAGAACAGCTCGCATAGAACACAAGACGATTGAGGACACCGACCTGGTATCTTCGGGGCCAGTCCCAGGGCCCTGCAAAGCGCAGGAGACTGCCTGCGCCGTGCGACAGTGGTCACAAGCCTGCAAAGCTCTTCATCATCATACTCGGAGGCAATCCCATAAGTTGCCAGGAGCTGCAAGAACACCTGCGCGTCCAATGAATTCTCCGATGCCACAGCACCGCTAGAGTCCTTGAGGACATCCATCCTAGACTTCCATCTGCCAGCAAGCTCCTTGGCACGCTCCTTGATGTTAAACGGCACCACCGGATGCTCGACTCCTAGAACCGGGTCGGCCAAAGCCGAGCCAGCACTCTCTAAGATGAGCACACAAGCACGGCGATTGGCCGAGACCCCTGACTCCTTTCTATCACCACCACCACCACTCTCACTATCAGACGGGATGCTATACCCCTCAAGGGCATCCAGGACGAGACGAGCCGGATCAATGGCACACCGAATTGCGACCGGCAACTCCAACCTCAATGCACTCACATCCTTCCTATGCTCACTCACGTACCTTCTCAAGCCTTCCCCGTCCATGTTCTCACAGAGTGTTTTAAGCTCTGGACGAACTCTCACCTCCGCCACCACTGAGTTGACCGTCGGCTGCTTTGGGGCGGGCGATGGCACTGGCGTTGCTTCTGTCGTGGGTGTTCCACTGCTGCCTTGCCCGTTCGTGGGGGAATCGTTGCTCTCCTCGGAATGCTGCTGCTGGGCGGCGAGAGGATCGTGATCCGAGGCCGGGGATCCGCAATTCTCCTCCGGGTTGCCGATATTTCCAATCCCTGTCCCCGGAATCTCCAGATAGATGGCCTGCCGCTCCTCGGTCAATCGCCGCTTCTCCTCCACAATGGCCGCGATCGCTGCCTCGCGCTGCTCCTGGACCCTGGCCAGCGATGCTTCCTCCCGCGCGGCGATCGCCTCCTCCCTCCGGCTCAGCCCTTCCTCCACATCGTCTAGGGCTTTCTCGCGATCGCTGAGCTCCTCGTACCTCTTCCGCAGCGCCGCTTCCACCTGAGCGAAGTGCTCCTCAAGCTGCTTCCACTCGATCGTGCAGCTCTCCAGCGCGGCCCGCCGGGACTCCAGCTCTTGGAATGCGCGCTCGATGCGCTCCCGCCGCGCAAGAACATCGTCCAATGCAAGCGCTACCGGGCTGAGATGAGAGATTCCAGCGTCTGATCCAGCCATCGCGAGGAGATACACGAAAATATTTCACCCTAGAACCAAGAACACCAAACAAAATGCTGGCCGTTGAGGCCCAGATTGATCCAACGGCCAGTAGCGAATTCCCGGGCCGCGGCACTTTGCAACCGCTTGCCACGTGGCAGCCTGGTTTCTAACAGACTGTCTCAGATTCGAAGTAAACGGCGGCGACTGCCGCCCCAAATTCGTGACGCGTGACAAAATCGTGGACGTCGAACCTCCCGCGATCCGGGGCGTCCGTTTCCCGCATCCATGCCTCTGTGTCGAAGAGAAGGAAGACGTGCTTGTGCCTCCCTTTGGAGATGGACGGCATTTGACGATACTCGAGGATTTCTTCGTGTTCAAAGCCTGGAAAGACAATTCCAAAGTGAGAACTCTGCAAAAGAGTTTTTGAAGTAATACCAGTTTGAAGAGATTTCAAGACCATCCACTGCAAGTAATCTTCTCCACCGGCTTCGAGCTCCACGAGTAGCAGCAAGAACAAGCTTGGCCTGGAATTCGATCCACCAGATCTTTCTACCACTCTTACGGACGGTGGTCCGTGCATTACTTCTCGGTCGATGATAATTCCATTAAAAACCTGGAAGTTGCCGAAGGCTATCTCCAGAAAAAATCCATTCTCCTCCACACTGAATAAACAAATAAAGTACGTAAGAAAGAGCACTAGCTTGAGCGTTTAACACAAAGAAAAGAACCTGTCTAGCAAGTCTGGGATGATATGCGTCTTCTTTAACAATGTCGAGGTTGTAGGGAGCTCCGTTATATCGGCGCCAGGAACCATCCCGGAGTTGTTCGCTCGGCCTTTAAAAATCGAAGTGTGTCAGTTCTTAAAACGCACGAACTCACAAAGAATTTATTACCTGGAGTACAAGGAGGAACAGTGCTTACGATCGCCTCCGTGTGGCTATCGACCACTCCAAATGCGCAAGCAGCCATGTCCTTCAGCGAGAGATCGGCGGTTTCAGTGAGACCTGCTGTCACAACTCTCTGCAGCATGCTCATTGTCGCTGCTGAGACTGGCAAAGATCTACAAAAAGAGAAAACAATGAAAGAAAGTTAAAAGAAAAAGTTAAGTAGAGGAACTCGGAAGCTTAGCCTTAAACTATACCTGGACGAGATTTGCAGCTTACATCAAGCACAGACTTGAAAATTCGAAAGAAAAAGCTTTCTTTTTTACACGAGAACATACCAGGCAACAAAAGCAGAACTAGAAAATACAGACATTGACAGCAAACACGAGAATGAAACATCGTCACTGTGACCTTATATCAGTTGCGGGTTCCGATCCATCGTTTTGAGCTGAAAAATTGTCAAAACACTTTAGAACAAGCTCGATCAATCGGTTTACGTTGTCCTTACCAGCAAACGGACTGGTGGCAGAGCCATGAACTTTAATCCGGGCGCTCATTCTACTGTCATCGCAGGACGGATCTTCCAACTTCTCTAAGCGCTGCGCTGCTTTATCTGAACATAGGCGGTTTTTCAAGATGTGGAGATAGAACAAAAATAATTTACCACCCTGCTCTTTCTGTTTTGGATCTACTCCTTCGAGACTTTCATCTAGAGAAGTCACCATTCCAACCTGAGAATCAACCAGCACTCCTGATAAGAAGAGAAACAAAATCCTTTTGCCAAAGTTAAACGCGCTTTCCTTTCCGAGAATGATGTATACCTGTGTATGGATCATATGCCTTGGACGAAGTTTTAAGAGCTTGCTGCTGACCCGAAAGCCCTCCCTCGGCAACATCGCGCAGCGTCGAGGGAGAATCTTGTTGCGCGCCTTCTTTCTTCTCGGCGATCATACTGGCGGCATTGCTGCCCCCGCAAGGATTCACACCCACATTCTTATCCTCCATCCCCAAAATCGAAGCGATTGAGGCGCAAGCAGCACAAACAGCGGCAGCTCCCTCTTCCCCTTCTCAAGCGCCCTAAACTGCGATCAGTCCTCCAAGTGTGAAAAACTGGACGCGTGTCCCACCGACGTGGTGCGATCGTTCTAGCACGACACGTGGAAAGCCCTAAAATGTGGGGCTAGGATGAAACCTTAAGTGTGAAACCTTGGGGAAAGTAGACCACTAGTGTCTTACAAGCACATTGACAAATGTGTCCCGCTGGGTAACACCAACTTTGTGTTGCAAACAAAAGAATCTACCAAATCCATCCAATACCCGTGCTACGTACGATGCTACGATTAAAAATACTATCTCGGTATATTCCGTGCTCCTCCTCACACACACACACACAACACAAGGCAATCGGGCCAAACGACGCCATCAACCAGATATTCGGCGTGACATAAGCAGCACCACACTATAAATAAAACCAAAGATCAAAGATCAAACAAAAGGTGGTGGGCAGCAGCAGCACATTAAAAAATCGATATAGCGTGAGCTCGATTGCCCTAAATTCCACAGCTTCACGTGTTGGGGACCTATGGTTCGTTGAAGCTGCAGCACACCGCCTTTCTTTTTGAATTAGGTGGAAATCGGCGATCCGTCCGATCCTGGCGGCGGGGTAAGCCGCCACGTGGCGGCGCGGCCGGCGCTAGATCGCACCGTGACGATCACGCCACGTCATGCTCGGCTTCCCATGAGGATCCACCCCGCGTGACATGACTGATGTTCCTTCGCCCTAAATTCCCTTTTTTACCCTTCCGTACCCCTCAATGACGCCCTTGCCCCTTGCATTTTAATTGCGGCACCCGGGTTATTATTAGAGTTTCTTTGGGCTAAAGAAACTGGTAAATCGCCCATGTAAGAAAGCTTTTTGACGGGCTGTGAAGTGTGGACTCCCCTTCTCTTTTTCCTCTATTCGCGAATCGCCTTCTCCATTCATTCATCCATTTTTTTTCTTCCCCCATTCATTCTTCGTTGTGTGTTAGTGTGTTTCGGCACAGCCGCCGCGGCTCAAGAACCAGCGGCAAAGATCGGCGCCTCCGGCCTCGGCGATCTCGCGGCTCGTCTCCACCGATCGCCCGGCGCTGCGCGGCACGCAATGGATCGCGTCGGGAGCTCCGAGGTGATGCGCGGCGCCGCCCGGATTGATCGATCCGAGGCGCCTTGAATCGCCGGCCCCATTTCCGTGATCATGTACTGGTAATATTGCCTCTTTTTCCCGATTCGATCTTTGGTGAATTCCGGCCAGGCGCCGCGCGGAGAGGGGAAATCGGCGCTCCTGATTCGCGATTCATCGCGTCGAGGTCGGTATTTCGGTAATGTGCAATCGATCGCGCTTCTTTGCCCTGTTTCGGTGCACGGATTGCTTGGCATATCGATCGATCCCCTTGCATTCCTGGATCCGTGGGGGAAAGAATTTGACTTTGTCATGGTTTGCCTGGAGAGATCGCAATTTTTCTTCTTTTTTGTCTCTCCAGGGTCATGTTCCAGAGCATAATGTTGGTACCTTACGCGTAATTTTGACGCTTGGTTTGCTACAGCTTTCGTGGTTATGCGGTTCCCTTCTATTGACAAGGAGGCTGACCTTGGAGCTGACTGGTCAGTAAAAAAATCCCTTCTCATTCCAATGTTTTGTTTCAATGATCAGAAGCGCCTTCGCTATGGCTTTCAGATGAAGTGCCATGTGTGTTGGAGCCAAGTTTCGTAGCAGTTTAGAGCAGTCGAGCGAGCAGCGCCATGGGTCAGGACGACGAAGATATTGATCAACTCTTAGGTGAAATCCCTCGGGCTACCTCGGCGCCTCCGCATCTTGATGAATTCCGGCCGGGTCGGGACAGTACTATTGCTCAGCAGCAGGAGGATGGCTTGACCAGCTCGGAGACAGACAGCAATTCTTCTGGTATGTACCCGGAGGGGTTCACAACGTTTACGCCCCCACGGGCCGCATTTGATGCGTTTGGTTTTGGGCTGAGCAACAGCAAGAGCGTTAACAGGGGCTCGTGTACAACAACCAGTCACGACAGCGCCTTTCCGCAAGACGAGACGGGAAACTTGGTCCAGCTGCCTCCGAATGATCCCGCGAAGTTTACCGGTGGTTACGTGGACAATGGCTTGTATCGCCACTCTCAGCGGTCTGCGACCGAGTACTACGACTATTTGCGATCTCTGCAGCAGGACAGGATACTGCAAGCGCAGAAGCAGCAGGTCTTTCTCTTCCAACGTGAGCTAGAGGAGGAGCGGCAGCGGAGGCTACAACAACACATCTTGCAGCAGCAAATCCACGACCGAGCAGCTCACCTCTATGGTTTGCAAACTCAGGCGTTGCTGGCGGCCGCGGTTGCTCCATATCGGGCTGGACGTCAACTTCAACCTTCGGCGGTTAACAGGGACGTGTACCATCGGCAGCCAACTTCTCAAGGTCATATAGACTCCATTTGCCGCTACTATGCCCAAGGTTATTGCAGCCGAGGAGATCAGTGCCCGTATTTGCACATTCAAGCGCCTGTAACGGGGAACCGAGCTGACAAGTATCCTTCGCGAGCAGGCAAGTCGTCGGTATCAAGAACAAGAAAGAAGCAGAGCAATGGCGGTTATGTTTATGCCACTGGTTTAGAGAACGAGGACGCCGACGAGGACGGGTTTTACGGCTCGTCGAAATCGTTATTGTATCATGATTTGCAGCAGCTGCAGCTAGGGAGCTCCAACGAGCAGGCGCTTAGATACTCGTCGCTGAAGGAGGTAGAGGGGCGTATTTATTCTATTGCCAAAGATCAGTACGGTTGTCGATTTCTCCAGCGGAGGTTTGACGAGGGCGTTGCAGAAGACTTGCAGAAGATCTTCGAGGAGATAATCGACCACATTGTCGATTTAATGACCGATCCATTCGGTAACTATCTCGTGCAGAAGCTCCTGGAAGTTTGCACCGAGGACCAGCGACTCGAGATTTTACGTGTCGTGTGCTCTGGAGACGAGTTGATTTCGATCTCCTTGAACATGCACGGGTACGCTTGTTTTTTTTTTCTTATCGCTCACTAGAGGCTTTCTTCCTTGCAGCACCCGAGCTGTACAGAAGCTAATTGAGACGTTGAAGTCCCCTGAACAGGTTTCTATGATCACCTCCTCGCTCGAGCAAGGGATAGTAATTCTTATCAAGGACTTGAATGGTAACCACGTAGTCCAGCGCTGCCTCCAGCGCCTTGGGAACGAGGAGAACCAGGTTAGAGCTTTTGGATTGTCTCGCCTCTAACTTACTAAAGTGGAAACTCTGGCATGCAGTTCATTTTTGATGCCGCGGCGCAGCACTGTGTCGAAGTTGGAACCCACAGGCACGGGTGCTGTGTTCTTCAGCGGTGTGTGGATTTTTCAAAAGGTGTACAAAAGGAGCGCTTGGTTGGAGAAATAGCCGCCAACGCGCTAGTGCTTTCGCAGGATCAATACGGGTATGCAATGGCCTTCCTTTCTTTCGAGCCTCAGTGACGCTTTGTTGGTGCAGTAATTATGTTGTGCAATACATCTTGGACGAGGCGCCGTGGATAGCTCCGGAGGTGATGGCCCAGCTGGAGGGGCACCACGCGCACCTCGCGATGCAAAAGTTTAGCAGTAACGTTGTAGAGAAGTGCCTGAAGCAAGGGGCGGATGACAAGCGTGCGCGAATCATACACGAGCTAACCAAGAGTGCGTTCCTGGGGCAGCTGCTGCAGGATCCCTTTGCAAACTACGTGATCCAGTGCGCGCTTACAGTCACGAAGGTACGCCAAAGTTTCAAAGTTTGTTCGATTTGTTCTAGCTCTGGGAACTTACACTTGTGGTATTCCAAATCCAGGGAGCTTTGCACGCGAGCTTGGTGGAAGCTATACGTCCGCATCTGCCAGCACTGCGCAGCAGCCCATACGGGAAGAGAATTTTGTGCCGGACGAACCTTAAGAAGGCGTGAGTCAAGCGGCAAGAGGATTTTGTCTTTCCGGACAAAGCTTAAGAAGGCGTGAGAAGCTCTCGATAGAGAACCATTGATCAACGTTTCGTACGGTACTAGACGGGAAAATTTTCTCTCCATGTTTTTGATCATTTGCTCTTACTGATACTTGCGGCCTGTACATTTGGAAAATGTAAAACTTTTTTATAGAGATAAAAACGGAGCCTTTGTACGGCTAGGGTCTAGGGTTTGGGTTTTGGGGTTTAAGGTTTAGGGCCAAGTCATTCCTTCGTACACGTCGCGCTTTGGGTGTCCACGTGGATGCTCTTCTAGGGTTTATGGCCAGCGGCCTAGTTTTTTTCTCCTCGATCTCTCCGTGTACCGCCTCTCGTCCCATGGCGCGAGCTTCGATCGACGAGAAGACGAGGCCTCCGATGCTCTCGAAAGGCGCATTTTCTCCTCCGGATTGGGCCAAACACTTGAATCCAGCGCCGAGCAGCATCTACTGTCTCGCACAGGTATGCTCAATTCTCCATTCTTTCTTCGTTGATGGCCTACATTTTGCTCATGCAGCTTCCATCGCCAATCCATCGCTGGGATTTGCCGAATTTGCCCGCTGATACCCAAGTCTGGATCAAGGTTGTGTGTGTGTGCGTGTGTGTGTTATTCTTCTTGTGTCTCAGATTTTTAATTTTTTTTTCATTCGATCGCAGAGAGATGATCTCACTGGAATGCAGCTGAGCGGGAACAAGGTGAGAAAGCTGGAATTTCTCCTGGCAGAAGCAAAGTTACAAGGTGCCGATTGCGTGATAACCATCGGTGGAATCCAAAGCAACCATTGTAGAGCCACCGCTGTTGCTGCTCGCTATCTGGATCTCGACTGCTATCTCATCCTTAGAACAAGCAAGGTGTGTCTTCTTCTTTTCTTTTCTTTTTTTCTTTTCAACCTTTCTTCTTATTTTTTGTGTAGAGTCTGGTGAATGAAGATCCTGGACTTGTTGGTAACTTACTTGTAGAGCGACTCGTGGGAGCTCATGTGGAGCTCGTCTCGAAAGAAGAGTACACGAAGCACGGTAGTGAGGTATTGCTTCGTTTCCCAGAGTTCGATTGCGTTTTGTAATCAAGTTTTTCGCTTGTTTTGCAGGCCCTTGGAGACATGCTCGTAGAAAAACTAAGAGCCCAAGGAAGAAAGCCTTATCTCATCCCTGTTGGTGGCTCCAATTCTCTTGGAACCTGGTTAGTATCTCAGAGTTTCTTTCTTCTTTGTTTTCTGAGCTTGCTTGTTAGGGGCTATATTTCCGCTGCACAGGAGATTGAGCAGCAAATAGAGGCTGGGACGTGTCCCCGTTTTGACGAGATTGTCATGGCATGCGGAAGGTTAGTTCATACTTTTCCTCTTTTCATGTAGCTGATGTAGTTGTTTATGGATTCTCTTTTCATAGTGGTGGAACTACAGCAGGACTGGCTCTTGGAAACCATCTCAGCATGATCAAGTCCAAGGTTTTGTTTTTGTTCTTTGTATCGGTATCTAAACAATGAAGAGGTTTTGGACAGGTTCATGGTTACACCGTCTGTGACAGCCCGGATTATTTCTACGATTACATCCAGGGACTTCTGGATGGTTTACATGCGCAAGTGGACTCTCGAGACATTGTCAGGCTGGTTGATGTAAGTTTGCTGCTTGTTGATGGAAGGATTGGAGGAGCTAACACTGTAAGAACTTGATCAGGCCAAAGGACTGGGATACGCACTGAGTAGTACAGGAGAGCTTGAGCTGGTGAAAGAGATCTCGGAGGCCACTGGCGTAATTCTGGATCCAGTTTATAGGTGAGGAGAGAAGTTTTCTCACCAAGTGTTCTCTAACTAGAAATCTCTTCGTTTCTTTGTGTGTTTCTCAGTGGGAAAGCATTGCATGGCATGGTTAAAGACATGGTGTGCGATGCCAAGTATTGGACAGGGAAGAAGGTGCTGTTCATTCACACCGGAGGCCTCCTTGGCATGTTTGATAAACTCCAGCAGATCCAACCCCTCACCGGGAATTGGAGGAGAATGCAAATCATGTAAATCTAAATTCTTAGTCAGAGAAACGAAATTCCTCCCTTGGAATATCTTGCAACGATCAACAATTCGAAAACTCCTTGAATGCATTCTTGCATTATTTCCCTCCCAGCAGACTCCAATTCTCGTTGTCTCCCACACACATCTCACACGGACTTGAAAGGAATATGAACACGCGGGAGCCATGGAAGGATCTGAGCTTGTGTCCGTCCTACCTCGCTGAGTGCTCTCCTTTTCTCCCTGGTTGAGTGCTCTCGCTGGTTCCATATTTTTTTTCCCTGGTCTTGCTTTCTAGTGCTCGTTCCATGCCCATCCTGCTCGCCATTTCGTTTGTCTTGTTTGTTTACACTGGCGATGGCGGTGGTGTTCAAAACCATGAACATCTTTGTTCAAAAACCTGAATGCCAGGTTTTTGAACAGCACTGCCATCGCCACCAACGCCACCAACGCCACCAACGCCACCACTGCCATCACAACAAGTGCAGTACCTCTAGTTTTGTTTGGGAAAAGGAGATCTTAAAAATTCAGCAGTGATTTTCTTTCTGGAGGGAAGATCTCCTCTTCCCAACGAAAAACAGCGGTGATCAGATGGAGCATCTTGCTCTCATGATCATGATCATGAGCAGGACGCTCCGTTGTTTTTGGTTGCTACTGTTGGTGAACAGCCAAAGCGGCCAAGGCAGCGTGACATCACGCTGCCTTGGTTTCTTTGGCTCCGCTGAAGCAGGATGGTCTCAAGATTCCTCTTCTCTTTTGGCTACTGAGAATGGAATGTGTGTTTAAAAGGAAATCATGAGAGAAACGTAGATTCTTGAAACTTCTGGTGTGCGAATTGCTCCAATGCGCGTGCGGAAAAGAAATAGCTTCATTCAAGGGAAGAACTATTCCTGCCGGGAGCGATTATCTAGCCAAGGGAGTTCTATTCCAAACTGGCAAACAAACTATTTATAGAGCTCTTCTCCCAAGCAACAAGGAAGCGGCTCCAACTCCAAGCAAAATTCTCCATGTTCGAAAGAAAAAGATTCATCCAATTTTGTGATTATTTTGGCACTATTTGTACAATTATAGTGTTTAGAAGCAAGCTCTTGCAACCTCAATCGCAGCCAAAAGGTCTACTTTCAAAGCGAAAGGAAATCAACTGGCGCGGACCTTCGCCTTGACACTCTAACAGACGTGCTTGACTGATTGCAAGCGAGTGACGAGCCCTCCAAGAGTTACTGGTTTGTTTCTGCAAACTCTCGCTCGCAAGGATTTGCCGGAAAAGATGCACGCACCTATCCAATCCCAGGTCAGTAGCATACAATGCCCAGTGTCTGAAAATGTGTAGCAGGAAAAATTTTCAGGGGCGGTGACGGCGAGGCCCAAACTCCATCTATATCATCAACAAGGCAAGTACGTTTGAATTGCTGAAGAGAATTCTAAAGGCTTCTGGCAGATTTCTTCCGAAGAGATCTAAGGTACAGTATCCAGGACGCTTGGACTTCATTTGTTGAAAGGAGGAAGGCTACATAGTTCGGGCTTCCGGTTTTGCAATCCCAGTTTGTGTCATGGTATTGGAGCTCGGTTAGCGCCATGGAAAGGAAGCCAGCCATTTGTGAGTTCGATGGAGAAGGTTTTTGAAGCCTATCTCCTTTCCACGGTTTGTTTGGCATTGTAGATGGGACAGAGCCACTGCTAGCACTGAGTGCAAATGCTGCAAATGTTCGTGATTGGACTCTTCGGGACTCCAAGGCTAGGGGCAGTATCACAATGTGTCTCTCCTCGAATGTGCTCCTTGCTGCCCCATCAATCCCCATGTCCACGGCTGCAGCACTTTGAAAGTGGCTGAATGAGATGGATGTCTTTAACATCCACTCACAGATGAATTCACTGAGGTCGGAAGAGAATGGAAGCACACAGCAACTTCATGGCTTCTTCACTCAGCTTGCAACTGGAGCAAATCATGCCCTCATGGACGAGCAGCAGAGGCTGCGGCTCTACAGATCCTTACTGAGTAGCTGGAAGAGTGCTGTGGAAAGCTTGCTTCTTCAGCCAGGGATGACTTTGGGCAGATGCTGTGAGGAGCCTTTGCAACATTGAAGCTATGCTAAGTTGCCTCAGGCTATGTATGCTTCCAAGGCTCCAAAGTGATGCCAAGATGTGCATAAGAAACTTGTCTTCATTAAACATGATATTTGTGCTTACAAGCGCCTGTAAACTTTACTTTACCGATGGCATCATTTTGTGCATATCTAATGAAGACGTATTTTTTACTTTTGGGATCAATCTTTTGTCCAAAATGCATATGTAGTAGGCTGTAGCTTGAAGCTGGATGCTTGCATCACAACAGATGCCTTGAAACTCTTTGTTGAAGTATTTGCCACCTCTATCAACTTTCAATCTTGCCTCAATATATCCCTTATATGTTCAAAAGGCAAAATCTTACACCAAGAAGTGGATACATGTCTAGTGGCTATAATCATCAATAAAGGTGATCAAATGTCATGGCTTGGGATGTCGATGCCAAGTCCAAACGTAGACTTGGATATATGCATATGAAAGATCATGTCATTGTTACTAACTTGGATTTTTAGAATATCCCATTTATATTTTGTGAATTCTACATTCTAGGCAAACATCACTACCATAATTTATCACTGAGCATGCATTGTACAACTTCCATGGTTTGGAAAGCTTGAATTGAATCAGCAGCAGTGAGCTCATACAAATCCCTTATGGCCCAAGAAATAGCTACACAAACAGAACGGAAAAGTCACTAGAGTCAATTCAGGAGACTCCTTTGGCATTTAAGATTACTATTGCACTTTGTCACAACAGATATTAAGTTTATCAGTTTAACAATTTAGCAGTTTACATTTTTCATAGCAAGATAGAGATAGAGACACACCATAGAATACCATGGTCCTCCCATGATTAAGTAAGAGCTAAAATTGACTAATGCCTTTCATATGTATGGTTGTGTCATTGCCAATTAAACATTATGTTTGCTATTGTTCACCTGGTAACAATCTTTTTATTGCCCATAAGAATAATATAACTAGAGTCTACTCAATGCCACAACTGCCTCTGCATTGTAGAGCTCCTCATTAGCCTCAGATGCTATGCCATCTCCATCACTCTTGAGAAAATTGGCTTGGAGATGGGGCATTAGGCTTGCAATTGTATGGCCCCGAAGCTTGCTAGCTGTTGCTGCAAAAGCATACACTAATTCTTGGCATCTGGGTTTGGCACACTTCGATGTTCTAGAAGTTCGCTCTTTCTGGATGAGACTTGCTTTGTTCTTTTGATCCCACTTGTGGGAGCAAACTTGGTTTTACCTCTGCCATTAGCTCCTATTCATGTTTTGCCACCAGCTCCATTAGCTCCTCTGGGAAATCCTCTACAAGTAGATATCCTTAAACTAGTTAATGCTCCTCTAGTCAAGGATAGGCCTCCAATGCTTATCAACGTCATGGCATGCCTAATCTGCTGCCATTATTCACCTACAGAAATGTTGGCCCTCATTGAAAGTTCAGGAAAATGCTAAAACATATGTTGTGGAGCTTGATGACTTTTGCAGCCATGTTGATGCCAACATCCGCATGACCTATGATGAGGCTGTCTCTATTGTCTCTGGTCCTAAAGCTCACCTTGCCAGTGTGGAATAAGTTGCTTCCATTCGGGTTAATGGCACGTGGATTTTACACCACTAGGATCAAAATAATTTTTTTCCAAAAAGTATGAAATTTAAGGCATGATTGCTTGTTCATGGCAACTATAATGAAACATTTTCCCAAGTTGCCAGCCTTCATATTGTTTTTTGCGCTTGCAGCTGCTATATGGATGTCAAGATGGCCTTCTTGAATGGGGATACCCAGAGGATATCAACATGCATATGATGTTGAGCTGTATGGCAATTGCAGAAAGCTTTGTATGGTTTAAAACAAAAATCTTGCATCTAGTATAGAAAATTTGATGCTAGAGGTCATGCAAGGAGCATGCTCATAATGGCTCTCTACATTAATGATTTGCTCATCGTGGGTGATGCTCCTGATGCCAAGGCAGCAATAGCATATGGGTGATGCTCCTGATGCCAAGGCAGAAATGGCATATAGGTGCTCTTCAGGTTTTCCTATTTTTTTCCTCAATATAATAATTGATGCACTCTTTTTGTTCAAAGCAGCTAGTTTGATGTTCAAACATATTGCCCTGGAGCTGCATATGAGACGATGTCCTCTTCCCTATCAAGACTTCAATATGGCATCGACAGTGCTGTGGCCGTAGTTTACCAATAAATTACGATCGGGAACTAATAGACACCTGAAGCATTATTTGAGCCACCAGCATTAAATTAGTGTTATTAAATTAAGGCACATTGTAATGACTCAACGCAAATCCTACTATTCAGAGTCAGGGAAGCTAAGGAGCGCTTCCAGGTACTGCTGCTTCGCGAAGGAGGCTCTTGGTCCTTCTCAATCACATCGGAAAATCTCCTTCTCTTAGTAGCCCACAGATTTGCCCCATTGTGAAACGTCTGGATATGATTATATCATAGAAGTTTTATTAGTATTTCACAACGAGATTGCTGGGATTTGCCGAGTTGGCACCCGAGTCTGGATCAAAGTTGTGTTTTCTTGTCTCTAAAATTTTTTCATTCGATCCTCTAAAATCTTTTCATTTCGATGAGCTCACTGGAATGCAGCTAAGCGGGAACAAGCTGGAATTTCTCCTGGCGGAAGCAAAGGTACAAGGTGCCGATTGCGTGATAACCATCGGTGGAATCCCAAGCAACCATTGTAGAGCCACTGCTGTTGCTACTATCTGCTCGACTGCTATCTCATCCTGCAAGATTCTTCTTCTTTTTTTTTCTTCAGCTTTTCTTCTTTACTTTGGTCAAAAGAAGACTACACGAAGCACGGTTGTTCGTTTTTCAGAGTTCGATAGCGTTGGAGACATGCTCGTAGAAAAACTAAGAGCCCAAGAAAGAAAGCCTTATCTCATCCCTGTTGGTGGCGTGCCTGGTTAGTACCTCTTATCCTTCATTAAGTTTTGTTCTTCGTTGTTTCTAAGCTTGCTTGCTAGGGGCTATATTTTCGCTGCACGGGAGATTGAGCAGCAAGTAGAGGCTGGGACGTGTCCCCGTTTAGACGAGATTGTCATGGCATGCGGAAGGTTAGTTCATACTTTTCCTCTTTTTATGTAGTTGTTTATGGATTCTCTTTTCGTAGCGGTGGAACAACATCAGGACTGGTTCATGGTTACACAGTCTGTGACAGCCCGGACTATTTCTACGATTACATCCAGGGACTCGCAAGTGAACCCTCGAGACATTGCCAGGCTGGTTGATGTAAGTTTGTTGCTTATTGATGGGAAGATTGAAAGAGCTAACAAAACTTGATCGGATCCAGTTTATAGGTGAGGAGAGAAGTCTTTCGAGTGTTCTCCAACTAAAATCTCTTGTCTTGTTTCTCAGTGGGAAAGCATTGCATGACAGGTCAAGACATGGCGTGTGATGCCCAGTATTGGACAAGGAAGAAGGTGCTGTTTATTCACACTGGGGGCCTCCTTGGCATGTCTGATAAACTCCAGCCCCTCACTGGGAATTGGAGGAGAATGCAAATTATGTAAATTGAAATTCTTAATGAAACTCCCGTCCATTTGAAGGATATCTTGCAACGATCACCAATTCAAAAACTCCTTGAATGCCGGCCTGGTTTCTTGTCACTCCATTTTCCATTAGCTCCCTCCCTTGACACGCAGCAGACTCCTATTCTCGTCAACTCCCACACACATCTCACACAGACTCGAAAGGAATATGACGCGCTGGAGCCATGGAAGGATCTAGAAAGCGCAAAATTCTTCTTCATCACTGGCCCCAGCCCCATGCTCTTCCACTGGTTTCCCTAGCGCTCTCAGTTTGTTTCCATCCTAGTGCTCTCGCTGGTTTCGCTTTCTCCCTAGTGCTCTCTGCTTTCCTTTTTTTCCCTGGTCTTGCTTTCCATTGCTTTAAGTTGGGACTGAATCTTGCTCGCCCTGGCAATGGCGGTGGTGTGAACATCTTTGGTGTGTCTGTCGTGCGGGCGGCAGGACAGATGTTCAGGTTTTTGAATACCACCGCCATTGCCACCACTGTCATCACCAACATGTGATGCGTTTCTTTGGGAAGAGGAGATCTTCCCTGCACAAACAGATCTCCTCTTCCCAAACTCTGGTCCAGCTGGTGACGGCGCAGAGCTCTACAAAAGGTACGAACAAAAAACAACTAGAGCTTGCATGCGAGCAGCCGGAGGATGTGCATATGGGGAATTTCTGAAGCAAGGCGGCAGCAAGAAACCTCCATGAGAGACTCTCATGGAGGTATTTTGCTGCCTCTTTGCTTCAGGAATTCTCTCCAAATAGAACTCTCAAGATTCCTCTTTTCGTTTTGGCTACTGATAATCGCTTCCGATTGTTTCATGTTGGAATAGAACTCCCTAGATTCCTCTTCTCCTCTTGGCTAGACAACCGCTCGCGGCAGGAATCTCTCTTTCCCCTTGGAACGAATGAAGCTATATTGAAACTTTGGCGCGCGCATTGGAGCAATTCGCGCACCAGACGTTTCAAGAACCGTTAGTCTTCATGATTCTCTTGTAAACAACATTCCATTCTCTTCTTCCCGTCTTTAGCAAGCAACAAGCAAGCGAAAACAATCAAATCATCTCCAGCTCCAAGCAAAATTCTCCATGTTCCAGGGACTGCGTTTCGACCTTCGAAAGAAAAAGATTCATCCAGGTGATTTTTCACATCGCGGTCATCGCTATTTGTGGTAAACGCTAAAGATCTAAGAGTTCATAACCATTCTGCTGGTGCGCAGCTCGGCAATCTCTTCCTTGATAAATCAAAGCTTTCCACCTCAGGATCGACAAAGGCGCCTTCAAAAAAGCCTAGCTGTCCCGGCTCCAGGAGAATTGGAGATGGTGGTTAAGCGTGGGATCATAGCATCTCTATATTATCCATGGCAGCCGCGCGCAGCGTCCTGAGGATCATCACATTGGCCTCCCAAACGCGAGGAAGACGTGGAGATAGCCTCCCATGGAATGCAGTGCGTTTTGCATATGCCCATATCCGGTATCTTGTTTGAATCTTTGGATCCTTTCAAGAACCTCTTTTGATGTATTGATTTTGCCATGCATTGCATACATTTTACGTTTAGAATGCAATGCTGCGCCGTGGCATCTCTAGAAACAGTTCCTGGTATCGCTCTAGATTCCCTTTCACGGAGCATCTTGCAAATCTAGCGGCGGCATGGCGACTTGATCGCAGTTCTCTATGCGAAATCAGCCCAGAGATCGCTGAAAGTTGATCTGAGCTAAAAAAACGTATTCTCTCTTCAATTCTGGTGGCCTGGAGCAAAGGAATGAGCTTTGGTTCTCACTCTGTTTCTCTTGCTCTCACCCAAGTAGTCCTCACCCTTTTGCTACCAATGCTTGCATATTCTTGGTATGCTTCTGGGACTGATTGTTTGTTTGTGTAACAGGAGCCAATGTAGGCAAGAAGCTCTTGAATCCCTAGATGTCGAGGAGGGTGCTCTTGTCAGGAGCTCGTCGACGAAAGAAGGGAAGACTGGTGATGGCATGCGCACTGGGATGGCCGGTCCCCAACCCAATAAATAGGATCTTTTGCCATGACAGAAAAATGTTCGGAAGCAGCTCGGGTGACTCGGGCAACAAGCAAACGGTGCAGAATGAAAAAGATTTTTTGGTCTGTTTTTCAGCCAAAACAGCAGTCGCCCAAAACAGCAGTTGCCCAAGGAGATACTCTTTGGTTGATAAAATTCCTGGTCTCCTCTTCTTGATAATCTAACAATTGGAATGAATGGAACCTTGAAAGTTATAATTAAAAATAATATTTTATTTTATTTTTGCTAATAATAACACTTAGAATAAGAGATTCTTTGTGGAACATTAATAAAAAGTATTTTTATTTAAAAAACATGTTTCATGAAGAATTATTTAATTGTAATGAAGATTGAGAATGAAAAAAAAAATTATAATAAAAATTGAGACTTTACTAATAAATAAAGAATTTATAACCAACCAAAAAAATCTATAGTGGTACAATGGATAATAAAACTTTTAAATTATTCTGTTATTATTATCCAGTAATTTTGTGGATGAAAATAAAATTGAATATTTTATAAATAGTTTTATATATTATATTTTAGAAATTAATATTTAATATTGTTTAAATTGAAGTAAAAAAGTAACTAATGTACACTTTTTATATAATACTGTTTTGACAATTTAAAAGTTTTATATAACAATTAAATCTTAAATATATGCTATTTTTTATTTTTATTAAATTACAGTAACTATGAAATAACATAAAACATTTTTAGTTTGAAGACTGGTAATGAATATGGGTTCTAAAAATTTAAATTTACATAATTTAAAGAATTTCAAAAGATAATATCTAAAATTTAAAATAAATACATATCCCTTTAATTTATATGAATTACATAGATGTGCTCACACTTTTAAGACTTAAATCTCAAAAAAAAAAAAAAAATCCTTCAATTTTGATTTGTTAATTTTATTATTGTCTTTTGCTACATTTAAAACCATTTTAAAATCCAAAAGGCTTTTAAACTTTTTATACAATGGCTAAGCAGCCGGGGAGGCACATCCGCGGCTATTGAGCTTTTGGCACCTCTACATCCATGGCCTTTTCCATCGAAGCTGATCAAGGATTTGTCGCGTGAGTTCCCAGGCGACTTGTTCCAGCTTCAAGACGCGACTGGACACATGCTAAAGCGGAAGTTTGCAGAGGACGATTCCATGGACAGTGTCATGTGCCGAGGAGGCTACCATGGCAGTGAGTATGCGATGGTGATTCTCCAGAACGCTTGGAGGTCGTCTCTATGTCGTGGTTGAGACCTCTCAGTATGCTCAACTTGTGCCGGAGGGATTGTGCAAGTGGTGAATGGCAAGATCGACCCAGAATTCACAAGTCATCCTCCATACTGAGTCCCCAAGGATGTCGTTCCAGCTTCCAACGACTGGGAGCTATGGGTTTAGTCACGTTCGAGCTCGCCGGCTCTTTGACGGGCTTTTGCGATTGACACTCCTCATGTAGAAGGTCCCAACCAACGTCCGCCCATCTAGATAACAAGCTGTCTTGGAAGATCTTCCTATAGAACTTGGTGCCAGTTGGTGGAACTCTTGTGACCCGACCCTTCAACTCTTGGTGACGAGCGAACGCTGCCATCGGAATCTGAGAACAAGGATCAAGCTCAATGACGAGACGATGAATCGCTGAATGAGATACTCCTCCACGTCCGTGTTGGTACTCCCACTGCCGGTTGTTACCCCGGAGGAGAGGCAGCCATTCAGCCGCTCGATCTCTCGAGGGGATGGCAGTGTGAACTGCTTGATTGCCTCGACCAGCGCGAGCTGATGTGCAAAAGCCTGCTTCTCACTGTCTGGAGTCCAGTACCTGCGCGAAACTTGGACATCCCTCTTGCTCCAGGATCTCCTGGTCTCTTGCGTCACAGCCGGATCCAGCGTCGGGCCCGAGAACTTGTCCAGGACTGGAAATGGGACGCCTTCTTCCACTTTGACGATGGTCTCGAGCAAGCGGGAAGTTGGCTCTGAAAACGTCCTCGTGGTGATTGCCGCGAGTGATCTCCGCTGGCTCCATCGTGCACAACGTTGTGGAGCTCCTAACTTGAGAATGAGTCCAACCGGTATATTCTATCTCCGGTAAAAGACAGAATATTCAATGGATTTTGTGTACGGTAAGATACTAAACCCTTGGCCGTACATTAGGTTTATTTTCAAAGCCGATGGCGGGCGAGGAGGTATCAGCGGTGAGCCCTTCCCACGGCGATTCGAGCGATGGAAGAATGGCGCCTCAAGCTCAGGATCGAGCGGGGGGCTCGTCGGAAGTGGCGGCGGGGGGAGATAAGCCCTGGCATTGTTACGACACGGTGTTCTTGAATGCCAAAGCAGGTCTGGATTTGTGGTTATTTCCCACATTCTTCCTATGTTTGTGTGTGTGCGTGAGTCAGGAATGAGTGGAGTGGACAAGGAAAAAGTCCAGAAGGTTGTTTACGAGATGAGCAAAGGATCCCGGTATTTCGAGAACGAGCAGCGCAAAGAAGCAATTCTCCAGCAGAGGATCGAGAAATTCAGAGAACAGGCTGCAAAAATCAGCACGACTAAGCTCGCAGAGACGAAAGCGGTGAGATTTCTCTGTTTTCATTTTTTTTTCTTTTCCTTTCTCTTCCAGCTCTAACATAAAAAAAACAAGAGATGTATAGGCGGTTGATAGACGAATTCTCGAGCTAGAGGCGAGCCGAAATCTCGACAAAACTTGGATGCATGTCGATATGGATGCGTTTTACGCCGCCGTCGAGACAGTGGAGGATGTTTCCTTGTCTTGCAAGCCTATGGCTGTTGGAGGCATGTCGATGATTTGCACTGCAAACTATGAGGTATGCCTTTTGTGCACGAAGAATTTCAGTGTTCACTTCTCCACCGCAGGCTCGGAAGTTTGGAGTGCGTGCTGCAATGCCTGGTTTCATAGCCTGCAAGCTGTGTCCGGACTTGGTATTGATAAAGCCAAACTTTGAAAAATACACGCATTACAGTGAACTCACACGTCAAGGTACTACCATATTCCGTTTTTCTTTTGGAGTCTTAGTAAACCTTTCTGTTCCAGTCTTTCGCTTATATGACAAAAATTTTATTGCAAGGAGCCTGGACGAAGCGTATCTTGATATTACGGAGTTTTGTAGAACGGAAAGCATTGCTCCGGCAGAGGTAGGCTGGACGCAGTATTATGTGATTTTTTCATGCGGTTTACAGGTAGCTGAACGGCTTCGGAAAGACGTTTTTGAGAAAACTAAGCTTACTTGCAGTGCTGGTGTTGCAGCCAACCGTCTCCTAGCGAAGGTGCTTTCGTTCCTAAAGCTTCTGACCATCTTTGCTTTTTGCTTTTTTGTAGGTGTGTTCTGACATTAATAAACCAAATGGCCAATTTGTGCTTGAAAGTGATCGCGAAAAGATTATGGAATTTGTGTCGAAGCTGCCTATTCGGAAGGTTTTGAGCTCCTGATTCCAATATTTTGTTTTAAAACCTGATATTTTTGTTTTCAAGGTTTCTGGTATTGGAAAGGTTACGGAGAGACTGTTGAAAGACGTTCTTTCTATCAATATGTGCTCTGATTTGATAGAAAATAGATATTTGATTTCGGCTTTGTTTTCAACAATTTCCACAGGTATCGTATGTCTCATTCGACGATGGTGACATTATTTCAGGTTTTTGCAGATTTTTTCTTATCAGTTGGCCTGGGTATTGGTGCCTCCGAGGCTCCTCACGAAGAGCAAAGAAAAAGCATAAGCAATGAAAGAACGTTTTCACCGACAAGTGACGCGAACATTCTTGGCAAAATCTTAGGTTCGTTTTGCACAGTTGAGTGTAAAATTTGTGACTCCTTTCGCATATCAGGTGACCTCGCTGAAAGTTTGTCCGAGGACATGATCAAGGAAAATTTGCAAGGCCGGACATTAACGCTAAAACTTAAGACGAGCACATTTGAGGTGCGTTCTAGTCATAGAGTTTTGTATAATAGCCAATGTTTTCTCTGGCAGGTACGTAGTCGGGCCGTATCAGTTCAGCATTTTATTAGTTCTAAGAAAGAAATCGAATCACTTGCTATAAAACTACTTAAAGCGGAACTTCCTATTTCATTGCGCTTGCTGGGTAAGTACTTTATCTTACCTTCCTCCATTGCTAACTCAAACACCGCAGGAGTGAGAGTTTCCCAGTTCAAAGAAGACGATCCTTCCCAGAAGAGTATTGCAAGCTTTCTGAAAGACATCTCTGATGCCGCTGTCAAGGATGACGACTTGGAACACGATTACGATGAACAGACACCATATTTATCAGACACTGACCGCGATACAAGTTGTAAACATACGGCAGACCAGTGGACGCAAGATGATCGATGTTCCTTGTGTGGCGAGAGAATATCTTCCGAGTATCCAACCCTCAGACAAGAGCACGAGGACTTTCACTTTGCTTTAAAGATCCAACAACAGGACTCTGTTAACCAGCTTGAGGTTTCGAAAAGAAGCATTGGCAAGAGGTATGTCGATAACTTTTATTTTGATTGCAAACTGATGTGGTCCACATTCTCAGACCAATAACTCAAAGCAGCGATCGTGGTACGAAGAAGTCCGCAAAGAATAGAAACTCCATCGAATCATACTTCGCAAAGAACTAGCCGTGCGACAGGGTTTGGACAATCGTGTTATGCCAAGGATCAGAAACGTGCGTCAGCAAGTTGTCTATGGGGCCTGTTTTCGTGAAGAAAGCTTGAACAAAAACACCAAGTATTGCTACCATGGCCAGCCTTCCTGCAACTCACATCAGGATCGGTATGAACAGCAAACCTTACTACCGTTTTTGAGTTCCTTCTCTTTCAACGTTCGTGCGTTGTTTATGTCCCTTCCTAGGCCAGCGGGATCGAAAAACGGACCTCCGGGATAGCTGCATATGGTAAAAAAATCCATTTTTCTTTCCTCAGTCATATCCAATATTTGTTTTCTTTTGGCCAGGAATATACCCGCTTTGTAGTCCAGCAAGAGCATCCTCAAACCCCAAAAACGTATCTTGAGCCGCTTGCGAACCAGGACTGATATAATCGTAGTATCTCCTCGTTTCAGCATACCTGCAAGGTAACACAAGTGGAAGTTTTACATCTCTGTCAAAGGGCTCATAAGATTTCTCCCACCCCATTAGAATCAGCTGGACTACAAACAAAGTCCGCGTGTCTGCGAACTCGAATTCTGTGGCACCGGCCTCGTACCAGACAGGCAGGTCTCTGCCTCCCACAGTCCTTAAAAGCTTCAAAAGAGCCAAGGTATCGTTTCTATAGTTGATAGAAGAGAGTGACTTACATCTGTGACGAGGATTCCAGCAATGCCAGCCATAGCAAAACGAGAATGGACGAGTTCCGCTTGCACGTACCATCGAAGGGTTTCGGGGTCTTTACCGAGCTCGAGGGGATCAAATCCAAAGTCGCCTGCGAGACTGGATGGTCGATCGATAGCAAATTTGCCACAAAGGAGTCACACGGCCGAGAAAGCAAAGATAAGAAATGGTTGGACTTACGAGCCATCAAGATGTTGGGGTGGAGATAAGCCAGGTAGCCAGATGGGCCTTTCGTCACTGCCAGAAGATTGAGCTCGAATTGACAAGAACCGAGCACAATGTGCGTTTCGAATTCGAGGATAGCAGCTTGACGGCTGTGGAGTCCTCCATACCATTGAAAGCCGGTTGCTATCCATTCCTTCCAAGAATGTTATATGCTTTTCCTATGGTCCAGATTTTAATTTGATTTTGTTTAGGTTTTGTATACAAAAAAAATTATCTACATAATTTAAGACGCAAATAGATTTCTTTGTCCCTGGAAAAAGATTAAAGATGAGTTTTTGCCTAGACTACTCGGCCCTTTGTTTTACCTTTGTGTTGCTTTCAATGCTTTTGGTAGATACTAAAGTAATCGTCACAGGTGGATCCTCACTACAAATTGCAGGCCGTCTTAGCAACAAATTGTATCACTCTAGCACTACTCCCAGCGTTGCGT